AGAGGTCTCTATCATTGGCATTTCGCTTTACATTTCATCAAACATTGTGTACTCCACATGCCTTTAGGTTATGGTCTTTTAAAGGTCATTTCATGGACAGATTGATTACTATGGACAGTGTTTTTATACCTAGTACAATCAGATGACAGATTTGTCTTGCATCCTTCAAAATAAATATGCTTTTGGAAGATCTTTGTTCTGACCTCATTGTAAGGATGAAGGTCTTATAGTGGCAATATAATTATGTTGTTCTGAATACATTACTCTGGACAAAAGATCAATATTGCTTTGTGCATTGCACATGGTGAACCTGATGGGGAAATTACTTCAAAATGCATGTTTTGCCCACTATACTGTGTCTCACCAGATCTTTCATATTTAGACTTAAGTGTAGAGACAGTAAATAGACCCCCTATTCAGAATTCACTGATGCTGAATTGCTTGTTATTTGGTCTACTCAACTTTTATTGTAACTCTAAACCTCTTAGGTAGTTATCCCCTTTCTACTTACAAAAAGAGGCTTTGGCTTACTTGAGTGTTGGCAAAACATTTTGTTAAAGGCAAAACCTTTTCCTTTAAACTCCTTTAAATTTTTCAGAATAATTACATTGAGGATTTTTGAGATTATTGGTTAAAAAAGGTAGCCAGTAGGTTCCAACACTACATTTTCAAGTGAACAGTTTTTGAATATAAAACCAAAGTTGAGCATATTTTTAAACCTCTGTTCATTTTGTTTGTTAAATCGTTTGATTGATTCCTGGAATACTGATAGTGTTTTACTGGACATCGTATTCATTTGCAGAAAATTAGTGACGGATTTGATTATGGGTTGACTTTACTGATGAGGTGAGGAATATCAGCTTTTGGGTGTTAGAGTCTGGAATTATTTCTTATTTATCTATAGTTTATATGACAAACAGTCGTGTTGAGGAGTATTACTTCTATAAAAAAAAAAGAAAGAAAAAAGTAACATCACGTTATTGTAATACTCCTATACACACACAGTTCAAAAATTATATTTTACAATTATTTTAAATAAATGCAAATGCACATATTTCAGCACATTTACTTAGAAATAATTAGTGTGTGTGTATATATATTAATGAAATTGATTTTGCAGCAGATCAGCATATTACAATGATTTCAGAAGGATCATGTGACACTGAAGACTGGATTAATACCTTCTGAAAATCCAGCTTTTCATCATAGGAATAAATTTCTTCTTAAAATATATTAAAATAGACTGCAGTTATTTTAAATTGAGGTTTCTGACTGTTTTTGAAGGAGTTATGGTTGAGGTGCCTAACTGGTTGGATATATATATATATATATATAATTTAGCCAACTTTGAGTTATAATATACTATAATCAGTTTGATTTCTGAATGAATTGCAGCGCTGGCACAGCTGATAAATTCTCATTAACTGAAATAAAGTCTTAAGTGCGTAGTCATGTGCAGTGGACCTTGTGTTGTTGAACCCATGCCCACTCACACAGCTGCATGTTTAAAGTGAGATGATTCAGGTTAAGTGCTGCTCCTCTGGGTGCTGCTGTGGAGAGACTTGTGGGATTTGAACTCTTGAATGAAAGCCCAGTACAGCTGTCAATGTCCCCTGTCACTGTTGCTATTTCACATGCAGCACATTACGAATGCATGGAAATGTCACGTCTATGTTATAATTTACTGGCCCAATTGTGACTTCCTCTGAAGCAAACAAACAAGTTTATGCCCACAACAAGCAGGCTTGATTGATATGTGTACCCTAACGCTGCTAGTTAGCTTTCAAGTCAAGTCAAGTCAAGTCTGCTTTATGACTCTGTTCTCATCATGCAGATTTGTATTCTTCCTCCCAATTTTTTTCCTCTTGCCTAATGACTGTGCCTCATGAATTTCTCTAGATTGAAAGATCACGGTATCAATTATTTGTCAGGATCTGAATTATTTAAACGGTCAGGCTTTGGGAGTCACATGAATTTGAGGGGCAAGTTTAAAAGGGAAAAATTATCCCATGTCTCAGTTCAGTATGAATGGACTGAGGGTGTCTCATTCCTTTGCATGTCCACATCTCTTCTATAACCTCTGCTCATTAGCCTATATGAATTTTGCATGGAGTTAGGAAGTTATTTGAATGGCTGGTGCATATACTGAGACAAAAAAAGGCTCAGAGAGCAGATGGGGTTTCACAATTGAATTATCTCTTTGGCTTATTTGCAGAGGAAGCTCGATGAATCCCGAAATATGCATAATCATGTGGATTTACATAAGTTCCTGATCCGAGCTGCAAAGTTTTAGCGGGGAATGTAATAGAGCTTGGCTGCTAATGAAGTAATGAGGCTCACCTTTGTGTGCCCGCTAAGCTGAGTGAAGCCACTGTGGCCGTTTCTCCTGGTGCCATCATTGTAACCCTGTGCCAAGTCTGTTTGTTGAAGCCAATTTGTCTGTGTTTGCCAAGTTGACTGAATTAAGTATGTAACTGTGGAAATACTGCAGTGACTCACACTGACACTTGCTCTATTTAAAATGACCAAGAAAATGGCGTCCAGGTGCCTGGGCCCATAAAAGACATTTGCCTATATATGAATTAGTAAATGTCACAATTAGTTGCCTGCATTATAGAGCAGGAATGCACTGTTATTTGTTTCTAACTGCCATGTACTGGGTGAACCGGTTCTTATTTCTATAGGTTAAAGTAAGCTGTTCATTTTTTTTACAAAAATGAAAATTCTGTCATTTAAATGCCGTTCTCAACCTTTATGATTTTTGTGGAACACAAAAGAGGACATTTTAAATAATTTTTCAGCTGTTTTTGTCCAAACAATACAAGTCAGTCTTTACCAAACAACACTTGGACCCCTTTGACTTTTGTTGTATGGGGGGAAAAATAAATGTATATATTAAAGTATCTTCTTTTTCTTAAAGGGATAGTTCACCCAAAATGAAAATTACCCCATGATTTACTCACCCTCAAGCCATCCTAGATTTATATGACTCTGTTCTTTTAGACGAATATAATCAGTTATATGAAAAAAAATGTCCTGGCTCTTCCCAGCTTTATAATGGCAGTGAATGGTGATCGAGATTTTGAAGACCAAAAAGTGCATCCATCCATCATAAAAAAGTGCTCCCCACAGCTCTTCTGAAGCAAAGGGTTGCAAAATACTTGCACGCCAAGCTTGCACAAAACTCTGAAGATTAAATAAGATTTTTTTTCTTAGCTTTTTCTGCTAATTGATTTAAGAGACTGATATTGTGACCATTTCGAACCAATACTGATGACAGCTCAGAAGGGACATTTCAGTTCTTTAGGATGTAAGTGGGTTAAACCTTTGTGTGGTTTCTAATCATACTGCTTTTTTTTTTGCACTGCAAGACTTGTTAGAAATCAAAAACCTTTCCGTTTGCATTGCTTTAATGCTTATCAACATGACAGAGAGCAGATAATCTGATCTATGTTTGCTGTGATTAGTTTCTTGGTATGAATTCTTACACTGTCTCTTGCAGGAACTATAAATTATAATTAGATACTGAGAAACGGTAATCTTGACACCAGCACTTTTGTGTTCTTCTTAAAACCATATTTCTAAGCTGTAAAATAAACTCGATATTTTAAAAATTAATTCAGAAGATTAAAGGTAGCAAAATAACCCAGACAACTTGCACATCAGTTTTAGTGCTCTTGGCTTTGTATCAACATTCAAGGTGCGAGCCCACAGTACATGTAGTCCTTGGCTCTCAAATGAGTCATATGTCATTGCGTTAAGAAAGTTATGGGTGGGTTTTCCTGTCACAAGTGAAAGAGAAATGGGCTTGAACACAGCTGAATCAACACCTCCATGAGCCACCAGCTTATACAGTGCAGGTTTTTGTACGTGGCACGGCTTTATCGAGACATCTGCTCTGCAGAGACCGTTTCTTTGTATAGCCTGGATCCTGTAGGTTTGACAACCTGGTCCGACAATATGGCTTCAGTGAACATTTATAGACTGCTGTTTCCGCTTCTCTGATTCTGTGATTAATTTACACCTTTGTTGGGATTTCTGGACTTGTACGGCATGCTTAAACAAAAGCGCTTCTAGCCCGTTCATGACCTCTCATCCAGATGGTTCCAACACCACCCAATAAGAACGCTGTGGTTAAGGTGAACGGTTAACAGCAAGCACTGCACACAAGGGAGGACGTAACACTAAATGTGACCCTGGACCACAAAACCAGTCATAAGGGTAAATGTTTTGAAATTGAGATTTATACATCATCTGAAAGCTTTCCATTGATGTATGGTTTGTTAGGATAGGACAATATTTGGCTGAGATACAACTATTTGATTATCTGGAATCTGAGAGTGCAAAAAAATCTAAATACTGAGAAAATCCCCTTTAAAGTTGTCCAAATGAAGTTCCTAGCAATGCATATTACTAATCAAAAATCAAGTTTTGATATATTTATGGTAGGAAATTTACAAAATATCTTCATGGAACATGATCTTTACTTAATATACTAATGATTTTTGGCATAAAAGAAAAATCGATAATTTTGACCCATACAATGTTTTTTTTGGCTATTGCTACAAATATACCCCAGCGACTTAAGACTGGTTTTGTGCTCCAGGGTCACAAATGGTTATGGGTCAGTGACGACTAAGAGTGTCCCCGATAACGCAATCTTTTAGTAATCTAGGTTAAAACACACATGCAAAGTTCTTAGAAATGTACTGTTTATGATCATATGGGTTTCATGTAGTTTTGAAAAACTTTCTCGACATTTTCAAGAAATGTTTAAATTCAATATCCTGTGAATGTGGCGTAGTAAAAAGTGATCTATTTTCCTTGAGTATACTAATCATTGTTTTAAAAAAAGTATTTTTCAGAAATATTGTTAATTATTTATTCATAAATATGTTTTTGAGGCTTTATATTCAATGTGGTGGGAGTTTTATAACCCTGACATTTTTGACTCAAAAATATCCAAATATATTTTAGAAGAGGTGCATTCAAGTCATTCTATGTATGAATTCCTTTTGTAATGATTTTATTTATTATTTTTCTTTTTTTAATTAATGAATAGATCCAAACAAAACATGAGCGGCATGACATTGACCCATATATCACCATCTGTTTTCTGCAGGAGTTTGAGAATTTTAACCAGAGACTGGGAGATGTGTCGAAAATAGTTCGGATTCCTCTGCCTGTGTCCAATGTCTTATGGGAGCACTGCATCCGTCTGGCCAACAGGACATTAGTGGAGGGGTAAGTGGGCTACCAAGCTGAACCAAATGGGTGTGGATGTCTATAAGACCACCTGCTCTTAGATAAATCTCCTACCACAGAGTGTTTTTATTGGAGTACTGGCCATCACAAACCACTCAGCCCTTTCCCAAACAAAGAAAATAGCTTGCAGGAGCAGTTGGATCACATACAGGTCCACGGAGTTCAGCAATGGCCAAAGAACCTCCCATTACTGTGGCAATACCACTTCACTTTGGTAGTATTGATGGAACTAGGTTTTATAGTGCTTTCTAGTTTATTTTATAAATCCTCTAATGATTTAAACCCATTTATCCAGTAAATTTACCTTTAGCCATTTATTTCTCCACTTACAGTTCTCATTTACAAAAAGTATTTACCTCTCAGCTTCTCTTCAAGGATTTGCCTATATTGTCAAATATTATAAATACTTGATTAAATATTAGATATTACTTTGCCAAATTGTTGTCGCAGAGTTTCAGTTCCTCCTATTGAAAAGCAACCACAGAATATGGCGTTGTCACCATCTTGCTTGGTATTTTTGGTATTGCGCTGTATTTGGTGTGCCAAACACAGAACCTCACTTTCAGGCCAAAGGGCTCAAGTTTAGTCTCTTCAGACCACAAAATATTCTTCCAATAGATTTCATGTTTTGTCACATGGCTTCTAGCAAATTCCAGGCTGACTTCATGTTGGCTTGTCTCAAAAGTGACTTTCTTCTGGCTGATCTCCCAAAGAGGCATAAGACGTCAAATGCTTGCTGTTGTCTAGACAGTTTTCCCCCTTTCATTCAAACAGTTCTGGAATTCCATGTAGTCCATCTGGCATCTTGGTAATTTTTCTTACAAATGCCCTGTTTGTCCAGTTGCTCGGTTTTTTAAGATGGACTGACCTTAGAAGTGTTTGGGTTGTGCCACGCTCTTTCCGTTTTACTTTAATCGACGTAAAAGGTTAAAAGCTTTGCCAGTCTTTTTAGAACCATCTATTTTCCTACTAACAACTTCTTGAAGTTCCTCAGGCAGATCTAAATTGATTAAATCTTCTCACAAAGTCAGTGATATTTATGATACAAGAAAGCACAAGTGAACACTGGTGGATTTGACATGAGTCATTGTGAAATATTATTACAACTTTAAGTAATTATTTTCAATTTTAATATATTTTAAAATGCCATTTATTCCTGGGATGGCAAAGCTGAATTTTCAGTAGCCATCAGTATCACTTGATCCTCCGAAAATCATTTTAATATTCTAAGTTGGTGCTCAAGTAATGTTTCTTTTTATTTTAAGTGTTGAAAACCGTTATAGTATTGCTTGATGTTTTTGTGTAAACCATGGTACTTTTTTTCAGAATTCTTTAATAAATTATATATTTTCTACAATTTTCTTGTTCAACTTCCTTCAATAGTATATTCACTTTTAAAGCAAATATCTGACAAAAGGCAAATGCACTCATAGCCAGATGCTTTTAAGCCACAGCTACAGTATATGCATTAAAACAGCAAATCTGAATGAAAGGTTTAGTTTCTCCTATTTTTTTATTCCTCTGCTTAAATTTGTGGATTGTTTTTATGAGCAAGAAGAGCTTTTGGCTTTTTCAATTATGGCTTGGCTGGCAGTGATTGTTTTGAGGGATGCAAACCCTTTATCACTGGGGACTCGTGGGTGTGCGAAATCTTGTGCTACGTGTTGATGATATTTGATTTAAGACAAGAAACACTGAGATTTTCAGCTGCCTCATCGATCTTGTGTTTGGAACAACTCTCGTCATTGTATTTACGTGTAGTGCTTTTCCCCATTTTTACCTTTTTCCTGAGGCATGCTCCTACTGTAGATATTTTAAGCATGCTTTAGTTCTGTGAGGATTCATCAAATGTCAGTAATGATTTTGTGCCATGAGCAGAATGCCTTTGTTGCTCTCAAATAGCTGAATATATAAATCCATCAATGTTGTTTAATTTCTTCGTATTTATTTTTCCTTCTTGTTTCCTCTTCTTGCACCCATCTGCTTGTCATTAGTCGAGAGCCGGATTATTGTAAATTAACGTCAGGGAAGTTTGCACGGCACAGTGCGACAAGCAATTTAGAATCCATGTCTTCTCCAAAGAGCTGGTTGTCAACCTGTCTTCCATCACTCATTCCTTACCCCAGTATGTTATCTTCAGTGTGCTGGCAATCTTGAAGCTCACAGACCTGTTGAGAACCTCTTATACTCGTCACCCCCTCAACATAATGGAGATTTGCTGGGAGCACATTTGACATGACTTTACAGGCACCTCTTGACTTCAGAGAGGTTCTTCATAGTAAAGCTTCACTGTAGACATCTGGATTTAGTCACATGTGAGAATAAAACGTATCAGAATATTGCATTTCTCTAGCCATGTAATCCATTGATTATTCATTTCTATAGCTCAGGAGTGCATAAAGAAGTAATCACACACTGTCCAGAGATGAACAGGCTTTTTTTAAACAACTGAAAAAGCCCACGATAGAGTGCGTAACAACAGCGCAGATGTACTGATGTGGAATGACCGTATGTTCCCAGAATATCTAAGAAACTCTAAAGAATCTTCTACAAACTCATCACTCCTGTATTGTTCAGTCCCATCTGGGCTGCCACTGGCCAAATGTGTGGTCCTCTATAAAGTCTGCATACTCCATTTGTACAAAGTGCCACACATTAAGACTCAAACACCCCAAGGACTTTAAGCTATTTAGTATTTACCCAGGAGCTGGTCATTGTTGCTGGATAAGCAGGGGAAGTGAGCATGCACAATTTAAAATCATAGGTAGATAATCAGTATGGTAATGATTTATTTTGTCAATTAATTCATCAGATATTACTAGGGTAAGGTTTAGGGTTTCAGTAAGATCAGCTTGTCATAATCCTCTGATTTCAGAGGTAGCTTAGGTCTAGGACTGCGATTGTTTAAAAGGATGTTTTTTGCCAAGACAGAATATATAGTTGATAAGAGCATGGCCCAGCATAGATTGGCAAGCACCTCCTGGCAGGATTCAGCTGTACACCTGCATCATAAGGTCAAGGGCCACTTGTTTGAAAATGGCAGAGCACAATCTTTGAGGGCAGGTTGTTTGAAAGAAGTGTTAAAGAGGCTGTCTGAGTGTAGCTGGAGCAGTCTGTATCCGCTATCTTCACTGCTTTTTCTGCCTGTGCAGTTTTGCTCAAAACTGAACAGTGATTGTAATTGCAGGGAGTTAACGCTCTCTGTAATCATCACATGTTCAGGTAGACAGCATCCACAGCATTTTGTAAGCTGAGAAAATTAGTCGTCCTATAGCTGATTAAATGCTGGGATAATTCCCGAAACATTAATAATAATCATGAAATGGCAAAAAAAAGTCAGTTGTGAACAAATGTGTTTTACTTGTTTAATGTTTTGCAACTATGTTATAAAATAAATCAGTAAATTAATTTTAAAATTACAGTCTATGATAGAATTCGCTGTGGTATGGTGTATTAAAATAGTGTGTTAAAAGTATGATCTTTTGGTATTTGAATCCGAGACCCTTTTTCTCTCCCACAATGTTTATCATCACTCTACCAGCAAGCAATGATGCCATTAAAATGTTTTTGTTTTTTTAAGTTTCCTGTTTATAGTGTATTTATTTCATTTTTTTTACTTCATTTTATCTTTGATTTTACATTTTTTATTTTTTACCCGTTTTATTTTTACATTTATTTATCATTATCATACACACATACTACCATTCTAAATGTTGGAGTTAGTACATTTTTACACATTAAAATGATCAAAAGTGACCATAAAACATTTATAACTTTACAAAAGTTTTCTATTACAAATCAAAGCTGTCAAATCAAAATTCTAAATGGCCCCTTAGCTAATTCATCCTAGCACCAACTCTAATGATACCCATTTCAGCCTCTCTTTTTTTCAAGTAGTCAAGTGCCAGTGCCAGTGCAGCGCCGAGTTGCATTACAAATCATTGCCGGCCATCAAGCAGAACGTGACAAGAAGAAAGGAAGGAGGCAGGGAAACAGAGGGATATATTGGCAGACTGGATATACTCAATAGGCCCAGCAACATCTTTCCCCTCACAGAAAGTAATTACACCACTGTCAGCCAAAAAGTAAACAGGGGTGTCAACAGCACTGAAATCTGCGTGGATGCTTGTTTGCCTTGGATGCAGCTACACTGTAAATCGATGCTTTGGTTGTGTTGGATGCTTAGGGCTCAGGACTGCAAACCAAGACCCACAAGCTGTACAAATCAAAAGGTGTCAAACTGAGCAAATGGCAAATTTGACCAAAAATGGCCCTCAGCATTTGGTGTCTCTTTACAGTCAAAAGCGGATTTGTCTTTTGGCTTAAATGACACATCCCACGGTCTGTCTCAATTATTATTTAAGCTGAAAACCAGATATGTGGAGCATCTATGCCGATTTATTATTTTATAAATATGCACCCCTATATTTTAACATTTTTATCACGTCTTTACATTCAGAAGGGGACCTAGAAACAAAAATTATGATCTCAGCTATTGTAAATCTTGTTATAAGATTAGAAGACTTGATTCTGATTGGTCAATCACTGCATTGTTGCTCTATTTATTGATGTATTCTTATTGACATTATGGTGGCCTAGCGGTTAGCTAGGTTCCAGGTTCGATTAGTGGTAGGGCATAAGGTTACATGTAACCCGTAGAGTTACAAGCACCATCGTGCTCGCGAGCAATACACTTAACCTGAGGTTACTGCAGGGAACTGTCTCTACAATTAATGTAGCATAAACTGTCAACAGTTAATGAATGCCCTTTATCTGTTTGACGTACACTCACCTCTGCTCTCCTTCTCTCCTGCTGTCTGCCAGCTATGCAAATGTGAAGAAATGCAGTAATGAAGGACGTGCGCTGATGCAGCTGGACTTCCAGCAGTTCCTGATGAAGCTGGAGAAGCTCACCGACCTCAGACCAATTCCAGACAAGGAGTTCGTAGAGACCTACATCAAGGCATACTACCTTACTGAGAATGACATGGAGCAGTTCATCAAGAACCACAGGGTAAGATGGGTTACACCTGACAACACAACGTAGGCAGGTTGTTAAAAGGTGCTAAATAGGTTTTATAGATTGCTAAATGCTTTGAAATGGCAAATTCCTACAATCAAAACAAAGTCAAGTAAAAACACATCAAATCAATTGCAATCAAGACTAAATGAACTCAAAAATATTAAATATTGTTATACCAATACATAATAACGAACTATATGTGTCTCCCTATATATTTTACTATGTGAGAAGTTTGTAGTGATAATACAAAAATAATAATAGTTTTGAATTGATTCATTAAAGCATATTCAAATTTGATCTTATTCACAGAAAGGAATCAAACTTACCAAATCTGGCAATGTTTGTTTCTGAAATTTAAATCAGAGATCTTTTTAAAACATCCCTGTATTAAAACTTTAGTTCTTGCAAATGACTATCTCAAAGCTAATCTAATTTAATATCACCATCAAAACCGTTGTGACAATGTTTTTTATATATCATGCAGCACTAATTGATTCCTATTTAAATGTTAAGAAAAAGCCCTGTGTAAAGCATGTCATTCAAGGCAGGCTTTAAGTCCTCATTAAAATGATGTAAGGCATCTCTAGTAGAGATTTATCACGAATTTGTTTTGTGTTTGACCAGGAGTACTCTATGAAGCAGCTGACTAACCTGGTCAACGTCTGCCTCGGGTCCCACATCAACAAGAAAGCGCGACAGAAACTCCTCGCAGCTATCGATGACATTGACCGTCCGAAAAGATAAATAAATGTCACTGAACTACCCCACCAAACCCCACAGAACGGTCACCAAAAAAAAACAACTCCACTCTTACTTGACTAGTATATATTATCGTGCACAGCCTGCATTTTCTTTTCTTTTCCTTTTTTTTTTTTTTTTTTATTTATTTTTTTTTTTTCTCCTTCCCATATATACATATATTATTGTGTATATGTCTTTTACTCACTACTACTGTTCCAGCCGTGTGTATATAAGTCTGAGCAGGTCCTTGATCTCTACCAGGTTGGTGTGGTTAGGCCCTTTTAGGGCTGCGGCATAACTCCTCTGCTCCTGCTGCTCGGGCCGGTGTGGGTGTGGACCAGGCTGCTGCTCTGCTGAGATGCTGTTGTTCCTCGCTGGAGCTGCTCTGGGTCTTTTGTGGTTGTGCTGATGTTGGTCCCAGGAGAGAGGGCCCTGTGGTGCAAGGTGCTGTTGCTGGGGTCTCCGCTGCTGTGGTGTAGGCTGATGGTAGTAGAGAGCAGGCTGTGGATG